CTTCCCCGTCCTCCTCCTCCTCGCTGGACCCAATTTGCCGTCGCCAGGCCAACATTCCAAGATGAACTTTTTCCTCCCTTTACCACACGTTGCTCCTTTTTTCTTTTCTCTCCGCGTTTCAACTCGCAGACGGAAAAGAAACAGTCTTACGTTTTTTTTTCTTTTTTTTTTAAAGTCATGTGACGTTTGTGTTCTCAAGTGTAGCATCAGTACTTCTTGTCATCTTCCGTGTTGCCAAATATGACGTTATGAGTTAATCATGTGCAGTTTCATGCACATTTTTTTTTTTGCATTTCCTGTCCTGTTGTACATTCCAGGTAGATTTTTTATTTTTTTTTTAAAGCAAATTTTCTTCTCCACCCCCCGCCCCCAAAATCCAATCCTCGCTCGCCTTTTTGTCCATCGATGAATGTGGAAAAACTCCTTAAAATGTGTAAGAAATGTAACATTTGGGGGGGGTTCGCCAGGTGGGCGGCAGACTTGCATATCCGGTGTAAAATGTCGTGTAAATTGTAGTGGTGCCTCTTGTCAGTGTGGAGGGTTTTTCAAGTATAAACAAAACAAACAAAAAAAAAAAAAACGCCGCCATGTCAAGTGAATTTCGGGTGTTGGGAAGAGGAACCACTCACACCCCAGCTTGTGTTTCACGCCACCATCGCCGATGATAAGTTCTGTGCACATAATAAAGATTTTACACTCAAAAACTGACATGAAAGCTTTTGGGGGTTTTCCTGAAACACCTCTCTCACAAATTCTCTTGCTCTTTCATTTCTGACCGTTTTGACTCCTTTTTGAAGGTGTACGATGGGACTTCGTCATCTTTCTTTGATTTGAAAAAGCTGAGTTAGTTGAGTTAGCTGCTGGAATGTATCCATGTTCTCACCACCACACTGCTTTCGCACGCCACCTCACGACGTAGGATCGCCGTACGGTACACACACCCACTCACTTTGTGGACCCAGATCTGATCAAAGCCATTCCTGCCATCTAGTGCCGATTTAACAGACTGAAATCATTCCCACAGCCTTGCTACTGACCGCTCAAAGCCCTTAATTTTTGAAAATGAAAACACCTAAAACGTATTTTTACGTTTTATATGCGTTGTGCACCGTTTGAAAATTTCATTCAGCGTACGCGTCAACTTTGAGGCCCGAGTGCGGTTTTGTGCGTCACATTTGCATTTGCAGAACTGGATGAGTGACTGCTTCCTTTCGCAACAAGTCACATTTGAGGCCGACTTCCTCCTTGCAAACTGGAGCATGGGGTGGAAGTACCTTGTGTATCTCAAAACTTTTTTTTTTTTTTTTTTTACACGAGTGTGAACATTTCCTGTTTCTATTGGCCATGTGTCAGAGTCAGCATGCGGCGTGTCATCGTCATCGCTGCCATTTCACGGACTGGGATGACTTGAACGCATCGTTTTGTTGGCGATTCAAGGTAAGATGCTTCCAATCCATTCTTGATGATTCCGCCAGTCGCTTTGTCGGTTTACTGTACTACTACGGTACTACTCGTAACTGGCAGAGGTGAGACGAAGTCACGTATGTGCGATTCAGAAGTCAGTCTGAAGTTATTGTTGCAGAGATCATGCAAGCCAAGCCTTCCGTAAATTGTCGTTCAAAAACATACCGTACACATCTTGAAAGTCGATCTTTATATGTAAACAGGCACAATTTTACAGTTGTAACATTAGCACGCTTGTGATCTAAAAAAGTTTGGTGATAGCCTTTCAGTTTGTCACACAGTAACCCATTGTCCTTGTCAAAAAAATTGTTGCAAAAAGCCTGTTGGTGAAATAGTATTTCATCACGACACATACAAAAAAAAAAAAGTTCCTCATGGGGCTTGTGTCCTGCTGCTTTTGAACCACTCTGTTCTTTTGTTGTCCTTTCAGATGACTGGTCTCAACATGGACCGGTTCTTCTTATGGGGGCTGTCTGGCTGGCTTTCTATTTTGGTCTGTGGAGCTTTGGGAGTCCCCACCACTGTAGAAATGCAGACCATGTTGACTACTGCCTTTGAAGACTTTTCAGAAGTTAGTCAAGGTGTCGCAAGTCCAGGTAGATCATCTCATGTTCTGACTATCTCAGGAACTAAACCCACGGAGCGTTTGCAGTCTTCTGGATCTTCCCCTGGCTTGGTCACAAAAAAGTATCCTAATCCATTCACAATCCAGAACCACAGTGGTACTCCTGGTTTTGGAATTGCCAGGATATTTCCGAAGAGTTCGGATCCTACCTTCAAATCTGCCTCAAGAAGTCTGATCTCGACACCAGCGCAGCCTACTGAACCCTTCAAGCCCAGCATCCAGTCTACTCTAGTCCCAATTCAAAGTCAAAAGACACCTGGAGAGACGTCTTCTACTGGTAACTCGGATCTTTCCAGTCTGAGCTCCACACTGGACCCTTTGGCAACGCCAAGAACCAACTCCATCACTGGGTCAAAAAGAAATTCAACTCCAATCTTCATACAAAACAGTAACCCTTCTCCAGGTTTTGGGACTACTGCTAGACCAGCTCCTACTGGCTCTTTGAGACCTCTAGATCAGTCTGCCACAAGAATTCCAATCTCCTCACCAGAGACTTTTAAACCATCAAGCTCAAGCTCTGCCCCAGACTCTACTCCAGTCCCGATCCAAGACCACAACATTCCTTCAGGTTTTGGGACAACGGGAAACACACCTTTGACTAGTAATGCCAGTCTTATCAGTTCAATTTCCACACCAGAACCTCCCGAACCACTAAGGACCAATATTCAGTCTACTCTAGTCCCAATCCAAAGTCACGAGTCCCCCGCAATTACGTCTTTGACTAATAACTCCAATCTTACTAGTCTTACCCCCACACCAGAACCTGCCGAACCAACGAGCTCCAGCAACATCACAGAGTCTACTTCCGTCCTTATCCAAAGTCACAGTGGCCCTCCTGGTTTTGGGACAACCCAAAAGACATTTTTCACCGGTAACACGGATCTTACCAGACCGATCTCCACACGAGAACCCCTTGAACCACCAAATTCTACTCCAGTCACAAGCCAAAGCAGTTCCCCAGTTTTTGGAACAACCCTAAGGACCGATCCTGATCTCACATCTCAATCTCTTTCTGCTACGAGAAACTCAAGCTCCTCCTCAGCAGCTCCCACCACGGGAACCTCCTCGACCACTCGGACCCTGGCACCTTGCCCCACCGCAACATCTCCTC